CATTTAAAATATAATAAAGTTTTAGCAATCGCCATAAAATTATTGTCAATTTTTAACTGTAAAGATGAACACATCTGCAGCATAATTTTGTGAATCTTTGTTAAGATTCTTCGATTGAAATTACACATTAACAGCATATAGTAGATTTTCTAGTGAAATCATTCCTAAATATACCTCTGCCATAATTATTGAAAAAGATTTTCAAAATGTTAGGACAGCTTTTATAATCTTTATTTAAGAAATATTTTTTTAAAGGTTTATAAAATTTTAAGATTCCATCGATTGCGGGTATTAGGAACATATCGCAACCAACATTATGCTGACTCAATTCTGTAAAATCAAATTCACTGAGGCATTATCAGATCAGAAAGCTGACATGCAATTTATAATCTCGAATCTGCTATATTCACCATTATATGGTTAGCTATGTCTTTGGATTTTTCACTATTTGAGGGGAAAAAATTTAATAGTTTTATTGAAACGACCTTAATTTTGTTGAAATAGTTGAGGATCTCTGTTAGAATTGCATATATATGCTCATTTTTCAAATCGTCAAGAATTGACCTCCTGGATTTAGGTCCTAAAACATTGGTGATAGCCTTGCTCATTTTTGTTCTACAAGTATAGTTTTCATTTATATTAGAGTCGTTAAATATTATGGGGAAAAGATCCTACCAACATTGTGATGATAAGTATCTCTGTGAATGTTGTACTACAAGATAAGTGATTACAATTGCCGCAACTGTAGTTGCATCTGTATTATTTCTTATTTTTGGAGTACCTAACTACCTATTTAAACGTGATACGTGATTATTAAGCGCCTATCCCTATAATTTTATAAACACACACGGTAGATTTCCAATTGCGGTCGTTTTGCGGGACATTCGCATAAAATATATTTTTAATTGTAAAATTAAAATCGTTTAAAATTTTATCTTGTTTACATTCTTTTATATTTAAAAAAGATCGTTGGTTTTTTTTATAAATTAATATATTTTAATAAATCAAGATGTTATTTTATTTTGAAAAATAGTTACCGACTTTGTATTTATATAAACTAATTATAAGAAATAAAAGTCGGATAATTAAGTCAATTCAAAATCCCGGCCAAAATTTTCTTTAGCAATTTTTATATTTCTCCTGCATAATACCAAATTTCTCCGGAAATCTAAAAAATTTTGACCTGGCAACCCTGGATGTGATAGGTGTTAAATGTTTGAAAAATATGGAAGGAAAAATGGTGATTGATAGTAGTGGTATTAAGAACACCTGCAAGATCTACATGAAAGGACTTTTGAATGAAGAAAATGAATGGGATAAAAATGTTAGTTGTGCAAAGGTAGAAGCTCCAGGGTGTAAATTTGGCAAAAATTTTTTTTAATATTCAACTTCAAGAAAAAAAATATTTCTTTCTTTATTCCTTCCTTCTTCCTTCCTTCCTTCCTTCCTTCCTTCCTTCCTTCCTTCCTTCCTTCCTTCCTTCCTTCCTTCCTTCCTTCCTTCCTTCCTTCCTTCCTTTCTTTACTTTCATAAATCTGAGAAAAATCATAATAAATTGATAAAAAAAATAAAAATATTGAAAAATTATATAATTATAATATATAAAATAATTAAGTATTTAATCTGGCGAAGTCTCATAGAACCCCAACCAGTCACAAAATGCTTATATCTTGAAAGCTATACTCAACCAAAATATTTAGATTCAAAGATATATTTGATGACTGAAGATTTTAGATCATAATAACAAATCGTTTTTATGTGTAATATCAATTCTAGCAAGCCTGGGGTCTCATTATACCCCACAAGAGTATTGAAGGGTTAAGCATGTTTTTTATATATATTGTTGTTATATTTTTTAATGTTGTTAAAAGTTACTTTTAGAAATATAACTTAATTAAATCCATTTTTTAAAAAAGTAAAGAGTTACAATTACTAGCTACCATTTTTTTTAAAAAATAGTTATATATAAAAGTAATAAGTTTAACATTATAAGTTACTATAATTAATCATTTATATAATACATAATTTTTTTATATTTATGTTTTTATATATATAAATAATTTAAAATTTACTAAATTTTTATCTTTTTTAAAATACCCGGGCCGGGCCTGAAATTTTTTTTAAAAAAAATATCCGAACCGGGTCGTATATAAATATATAAATTAAATTTTAAAAAATTGAGCCTACCCGGTGAGTCGACTAAGTGAGCCGACTGAGCGAGTATTTTCGGTTTTATCTTTTAAATAAATGCTTTTTTTCAAAAAAAAATATTAAATTATGATCGTTATTTCAAAAATAGTTGACTAATCTCTTTTTAATTAGTTCATATGATAATCTAAGATTCATTTTTTGTGAATTCCCATAAAATTTGCCATTTTTTTCTAGCAAATGTTATGTGCTTTCTCATAAACATCGATATCTAAATGATCTTGTTAGCATCTTGTATTGACACTAGGTTCAATATGATCATAAAAACATCTTATGTGCCTGGCAAAGGTATCTAACCTAAAAGATTGTGATCTAATAATCTTTCTCTTAAAAAATACCGGTCACTTTGAATAAACATAGTTTAGATATTCTTGAAGTCAAGGGTTTGCTCAACATATTAATCTTCATATTAAAGCTGCAGTAGCATATTTATTAGCTACTAAAAAAAGTCTTTAACTTTGCTGATAATACCTTTTAAAATTTATGATTCTACCCAAAAAAGGTTAATTTTTTTATTTAAGGATTGATTAGGAACATGTCCACTAAACATATATATTTTTTGTATAAGAATAAATTAATAATAGTTAGTTTAATTTAATTAATAATTTTATCAAGAGCGTAATTGAGAGAAGGGAGGGGGGTTAACGTCCTCACACCCTCCCCCTATCCCCCCCCCCCCCCAAATAAATGTATACAACATATTCATAAGAATAATTTTAAAAAGGAAAAATTAGTAAAAAGTTATATTAATATTTTTTTAAATGTAAAGGATATAATTCGAAAATTCGACGAAAATAAGCATTTAAATTATGAATAGTACACCCCCCCCCCTTCTCCCATCCCCTTAAAAAAATTCATTCTGGCTATGCCTATATAGACATATATATATATATATATGCTAGTGTCAATGTTAACACATATATATAAACACCTTATTCGATAAGAAATTAAATTGGCTTAAGAACCTAGTCGCGCGGTTTGGCAAAAAATCAAAAAAAAATCAAAAAATAATCTGCCAATGATTCGAATCATATGAACTTTAAAATTGATTTGATGGACTGCCAACGATATATACACGAAGATATTCAAAAAAATATCTTAACCGTGTTGACCACTATATTCCGACTGACCGAGCCTGAAAAGGGTTTTCATCATACGATTTCGATCGTGGCAAGATAAAAAGAAAGTTGATGTTCGTAAAAAAAATATGAAACGGACCTTCGATATCCGAATGGATTTTCCGGATGCATGTTATAAAAAATATGGGGAAAAGGAATCATGGCGGGAGAGAGAATGAGATCTTTTTAAGGATGTAAGATTTGTGGATATGTATAGATCGGGACTTCGAACCGTTAAGTATAGCGGTTCGGGTTTTAGTCCATATATTTTATAAAGGTTTTGTTCCATTACGGGTTTATATTTGAAGAAATTTTACAATTTATAACTGTTCTTTTCGGTTCGTTCCAGTAATTCAAATTTAATAAACCATATATATATATATATATATTAATAATGTTAGGGAAATATTATTTTTTAATATATACAAATATTTTTATAATTCCTTATTCTATTTAACCACGAAGATGGCTTCTTAAGAATTTGCCTAATTTCTAGAAAACAATAAACTTTGTATTTTGATTGATACCAAGATAATTGGGCGATTTAATGGTTAAAAAGCAAAAATTTTAATTTTGAACTCCCCGCAGGAAAAATAAAATTTTAAATTTAAGTTCAATAATTTTAAATTAATCAAATTTAAAAACCGTTATGAACCGGTTCAAAAATATAACGGGTCGGTTACGGTTCCGAAAATTACAGCGGTTCGTTCCGGTTTATAATCGGTTTTAAAAATGGGGCCCAGCCTGGATATAAAATAAAAACGCTAGGATATAAAATGCAAACCGGCCCGTGTGCCTGTCTCTGATTTTTATAGTGAGAATTAAAATTTTGATATATTAATTTTCAATGTCAAAGAAATTTTTGATGAATTATTATTATTTGAATATAAATTACAATATCTCTATTTTTGTTTTTCTATTTTAGGAGCTGTCGAACCAAATAGTAAATTTAAATAAATTTATTGATATGATCCAACCAATTACAAATACAGATATCAAAAGACAATTGATTTATAAAATGGTTGTTAGAGAGACAAGCAACAAAGATCCTTAATGACATTAAGAAGCATACATTAAAAATGTGTTGGCCAGAAAATTTTTCTAAAAAATTTCATGTGCCAGATATTGTTGTAAAATTTTAATAAACTGGACACAATATTTTATAAAACTGATATTTTGTAATATGTAAAGGGCAAGTCCAGAAAATTAGTAAAAATTTAATATCGTATCTGGATGGGTCCAGCAAACATTTAAATAATGAGCCAATAAACTTGTGCATTAAATCTTAACAAGTCAGGCTTTATCAGACTTCTGATCCAGGTGTGGTGAGGGTTCACCTACTAAGGGTATGGGTCTATGTAGGGCTTTACCCCCAATTGTTGACAAATATTAAGTCAGATTTTTACCATCCTTTATTGATTTTCATCATTATATAGTTAATTTCCTTCCCATTTTTCTTAATAACTCAAATTATGCATTAAAAGTATAGGGGGGATATGAATTTCAAAAAAAAAGGAAATTTGTAGTTTGAATTTTAAAATTACTTTTTTCTTATGACAAACCATAATATTTTTTGTTTTATTCTAGCTTTAAAAATATAAGATAATATTATGAATGATTTCTTAAAAAATGTAAAAATTTAAAGACAAAACAATTAACTCAGAATTGTAATAATAACTTTAAAAAATAATATTCATTTATTTGTATAGCAGATAAATATATTAATCATAAAAAAATTAATAATATTATAATTTAGTTTTATGTAATAATTAGATGAATCATATAATTTAATTTTAAATGTTTTATAAACATTACTAATTTTATTAAATATTATATTTTTGATATAATACAATAAAAAAACTGAGTGGTATATATTACATATGATAAATATTATGTCTTTGTTAGCATTTTTAGTAAATATTTTTTTTTTTTGGAATTTAAAATGTTTCCCAGCTTGTATTTGAATTCAATACTTGATTAGTTGATGTTTCATGGGTCCTTAACAAATTTTTTTGATTGATCACTGAGTTTATATTGGAATCTGATTTTGTAGATGTTGAAATCGGCACTTTAACCAAACATGTGGGTTTTAATTTAGAATTATTATTGCTTGGACTTTCTTTATTTTTTGGCAGCAAAAAATTTAATTTTATAGTCTGTCCATCTTTTAGACTCATGTCTATAGAAGGTTCCATTTTATTTTGGTTCATATTTTTTTCTATATCTTTACTATCTTTAAGCCATCTAAAATGACTTTGAAGTGCTACATTTAGATCAAAGGAATCGGATCTATCTAAAAAGCCCAATCCTACAAAGGCTGATCGACCATTTTCACTTAGAAGCTTAATCACAAAATATCTACTAGAATCACTTACACCTTCGATACAGTTACCAGGGTATTTATCAACAGGACATGCTGCAAAAAGTTTGCCATCTGCATCCTCGAATTTGATAGAACATTTATCGCGAATAGAAATCAATTTTAAGCGCCCAGTCCAATCAGGATTATCAAGTTTCCAATCTGCAGCTTTATATTTCGTCTTTCCATAAACCGGAGCAATATTATAAATGCTTACATTATTTTTAACTAATATAACTGATTCATAGTCATCCATAGTAATTCAATCCCTTTTTAAAGTGTTAAAAAAATAATTGTATACATAAAGGCGAAAAATAGTTCAGAACGGTTTATTGATTGATGTCAAATCTCTTCCAATGTGATTATGTCTATATTATGCAATGATATTATGTTATTTATATATAGATAGATATCAAAATATATCTCTTTTATATATAGAATATATTGGCGTTTTATTTATGAATTAATTTATATGAATAGTTTCATATATGTATCATAGCAATTAACCAATTTTTTTGAATAAAAAATTTAAATAGTAATTTTTAATTAATCAATAGGGGAGAATGAAATGTATTAAAAATAGTATTGCATCTCCCACTTACCAATTCATTATACAATCTTCATTCAATGATTAATATTTATTAATTTACCAATCTCAATTCAATGTGTAATATTTACTATCCATATATTTATATAATGTATCCAAAACAGTCATCTAATAAATCTAAAGCAATCAACATATTATCAATATAATTATATAATCATTTTGTTTCTTCTTTCAGTCTTGATATCCTTGTCCTTTCTTCCCAACAACAATTGCATCAGGTGATCTCCCCCAAAATCCTTCCACCACAACCCCAATCCATCATCCCCAAGGAAAAATTAATTATTAATATCAGAAAATGACTGACATTTAGTATATTATATTAAATTTATTTCTTATTTTTTTTAACGGTTACAACACGCCCAACCTTCAAAGGCCCAGCGTCCCTCTCTTTCTGGTGGGATCGTATCGGATCGTCCATTTGAATTGTATCAAATTTCGGTACGCCCTGAAAACGTTCGGGGAATTTATCGAATCGTCTCCCTTTATGATGATTTATAGTATAATATGATACATTTCAATATATAATCGCTGGAAAACATATTAACAATAATGACATTTACATCGTGGTATCCATAAATATAATCTATGGAACGGTAATATTGACAATATAATATACAAGCAAGACATAATAATTTATTCATTTTAATACATTTGAAAAATACGAGTTATAATATACATTATTCAAGGTCTGACTGATTAATAGGAATTAGGAAATAATGATTTTACATACAATACCGTAATGTGAACAAATGGTTTATGTGTGAAATGAAATTTCAACAACATGTAACTTTCCTTCTGTCATTTAAAAAAAAACAAAGCTAAATTTTTTATAAATATCCCTTAAAATAGATAGGAATTTTTTTTTTTTATTAAAAATAATTGCGAAAATTTGCCGAACAAAGATTTTAAACAAAATTTCAAGGATTAGGTATAGACATAAATTTAATATTTTATAAGGAGGAAAAATATATAATATGTAGAAAATAAAATATTTTTCATCTAGGAATTACTCAGTATCCTAAGAAAAATATACCATTTCTACCTAACCCTGCCATCACAATTAGCACAGATTCACAGTGTAGAATGCAAAGTAACAAAGATTGAGAATATAATGGGCTATATGGTATACATTTAGAGTTTTTTTAATATAACATTCAAAAAATCTGAGTTTTTTTAAAAAAAATACGTTCATTATATACATAGTAAAATGTGATGTGCTATAAAATTATTACAAAGATAAAATATATGTAATAAACAAAATACATTTACAAATTAAAATTTAAAAAAAAACTTTCTCAAGTATTCAAACTAAATGATATTTCCATTTTAAGGCATACCAAACTAAAGGATATTTCCATTTTAAAGCATACTCATAAACACATGGCTGACCTTATCAATAAAAATATTTGCCTTTCACATCATTGCATACAATAAAAATAGTATAAAAAATGCAAGTAAAAATTTTTATAAAATTTTATAAATTAAAAAATATATATATATTAAATATAAAGATTTCATAATTTAAAAAAATATATATTAAATATCATAATTTCTACCAATATATCATATAAATCCATGCCAAATTTATATATATATCAAAAATATCAAACTTATACCAATATATCATATAATTTATACCAAATTTATATATATGTATAAAATTCATACATTAAATCTAAAATAACTATCCACATATAACATTATAGACATTATTCTGACTTTTATCATAACTCAATTCCTTTAATTTCAATGTATTTCATAACGTTAACCCTGCAGACGCATTACCTCATATTTTCACCAATGATATCATTCCTTGTAAATCTTAATGTATCCCATATATGCTTCATATAACATTCCTTTTACACCTAAATGTATCCTATATATGTTTATCATTTATAATTAAATATATCATAGTGTAATTCAAATTACACCATATTATATAAAAATGCTTAATTACTTCAAAATAAAACAACATTAACACATCCAAAATAGATCCCTTAATAATATATCAACCTTAATTGAAACTGGATTACATTCATAATATAGTAACATTAATTAATAATAAGCCATCCCACTCATGTCCATCCCTTAAAAACCCAAAATGTATAATTATATAACAATATTTTATTATAAAAATCCGCTTCTATATATATTTTCACAAACCCTCAATTACACAAATTTATATCTTAATCACACTTACAATTACCAATTTAATATTTTTCTAACCCTATATTTACATATATATCCCCTGCTCATTATAATTCCCCAACATTTAAATATTCAGCAATCCTTTCTGTCCGGCATTACGTGAGGTCTATTTTCTGGCTGATGGAAACCTATTCTCATTCAATGAGTCTTAAGGCTTACAAAATAATAAGACAATAACTTATTGTCAAACATTGGATGTAAAAATGTAAATTTAGACATATAATACCACAAATATTATTGTATTAAATGGGCCAAAATGAACCAAATATCATTAACCCTCAACAGTAAGCCCTTTTCAAAGTAATATATAATTATTATACATCATATATATATATAATAAATTCATAATTATATTTTCATTTTCAGTCCTAATACTCATTACATACTTTCTATCATATTCCTTATTTGCCAAATATCTAAAACAAAATGCTAAAATCCCTTAATCTCTACCCATATGAAAATCTTATTTTCGCCACACTTCTTTCTGACACATCGTATAGTAATAACTGCATTGTGTTTAACTTACCAGAACATCTGATCCTGAGGTAATCATCGATCACCATTATTGCATCTCCCACTTACAAATTCATTTACCAATCTTTATTCAAAGGTTAATATTTATTAACTTACCATTCTTAATTCAATGTGTAATACTTACTATCCATATATTTATATAATGTATCCAAAACAGTCTCTAATAGATCTAAAACAATCAATATAATTATATAATCATTTTGTTTCTTCGTTCAGTCTTGATATCCTTATCCTTTCTTCCTAACAACATTTGCATCAGGTGATCTCCCCTATAATCCTTCCACCACAACCCCAATCCATAATCCCCAAGGAAAAATTAATTATTAATATCAGAAAATGACTGACATTTAGTATATTATATTATATTAAATTTATTTATTCTTTTTTTAACGGCTACAACGAATAGATTATTAATATATCGTTTTTTGTGAATAGTTTTATCCATTTGTACAAAACATTTGAAATCCAGAGGGGCGGTTATGTTTCTTTAAGAAATATATATAAAAAAAATAATTCAAATTATCATCCTTTCTTTAGAAATAATAAAAAATTAGCTGAAAACATGACTAGAAAATATTTTTGAAAAAAATCCTGTCAGTAAATGGCCCTAAGACAAGGAAAAAACGACTGAATTTTAGAAATAAGAAGGCCAGCATTAAGATGCATGAAACTAAAATAGAAGACTCAGATAACATTAACTTGGATTGTAAGGTTTCGAATTCACGATTCCCATTGATTTGAGAATTTATTTTACATACGATTTTTAAAAACTGATAACCTAAGGGGGTCTAAGGACCCATTGGTATAAATAACTATTGTGATTAAATAAATATCTTAAAGTTCGTGGTACTTTTTATTTTTTTTAACCTTTTGGCTATTATAACAAGGTCAATCACAAATAAGAGGATTTCCTCGAAACGAAAAATATTAGTAATGTCGCCTGTTCTTTTTCTATAATGCAGGGACAGGGCCGTAGCCAAGGATTTCCAGCTGCAATAATTTTTTGAAATAAAACAAATAGTTAGTTTACATACGATTTTTAAAAACTGATAACCTAAGGGGGTCTAATGATCCATTGGTATAAATAACTATTGTGATTAAATAAATATCTTAAAGTTCGTGGTACTTTTTATTTTTTTTAACCTTTTGGCTATTATAACAAGGTCAATCACAAATAAAAGGATTTCCTCGAAACGAAAAATATTAGTAATGTCGCCTGTTCTTTTTCTATAATGCAGGGACAGGGCCGTAGCCAAGGATTTCCAGCTGCAATAATTTTTTGAAATAAAACAAATAGTTAGTTTACATACGATTTTTAAAAACTGATAACCTAAGGGGGTCTAATGATCCATTGGTATAAATAACTATTGTGATTAAATAAATATCTTAAAGTTCGTGGTACTTTTTATTTTTTTTAACCTTTTGGCTATTATAACAAGGTCAATCACAAATAAGAGGATTTCCTCGAAACGAAAAATATTAGTAATGTCGTCTGTTCTTTTTCTATAATGTAGGGACAGGGCCGTAGCCAAGGATTTCCAGCTGCAATAATTTTTTGAAATAAAACAAATAGTTAGTTTACATACGATTTTTAAAAACTGATAACCTAAGGGGGTCTAAGGACCCATTGGTATAAATAACTATTGTGATTAAATAAATATCTTAAAGTTCGTGGTACTTTTTATTTTTTTTAACCTTTTGGCTATTATAACAAGGTCAACAAATAAGAGGATTTCCTCGAAACGAAAAATATTAGTAATGTCATCTGTTCTTTTTCTATAATGTAGGGACAGGGCCGTAGCCAAGGATTTCCAGCTGCAATAATTTTTTGAAATAAAACAAATAGTTAGACACTCATTAAAATTTTAACGCAACTTTTATTAAAAATTTGTGGATTATTTTTATTTTTAAATTTCGAAATGAACGAATTGAAAAGCTAAATTTCATATAAT